AACTCTTGGCCTACTGTTTACCAACGAATAGTGGGATCGACTGTCACATTATAACGCACCCACGGCTGAAAGGGCGAGCATGTTTGGTGCGACGGGGATTCGAACCCGCGACCCGCAGATTGCGAGTCGAGCGCCCTAACCACCTGGGCCGCGTTATTTGTAAATCAGATTTTAACGGTAAGAGTTAATAACACAATATTATTCATGATTGCTCCTAATTAACTTTATTACCAAGGGCCAGGCGTGGCCTAAATGTTAGAGTGCTCAGACTGTGAATCTGGGAAAATGATTCGAACAATGCGCTCCGCACTTCGGGGCTGTGGGTACACTACAAGAGCAACGGTCAGATCCCACTATTTGATCAAACAAGAGTAGCTCAGGAATTTGCTGTTGATGAGCTGCATTCCCTGTAGCCCATCAGTCCAAAATTAGGGACGGCTATGTGCAGGCAGCCCTTATATTTTTGCTCGAAAACTTAGAAACAAAAATTGCCCAAGAAACATATTTTTTTCTGTCAAAATCCAGCGGGAAGATCAGGAAATCGGAAGACGGTATAGTTAGTTAGAACAGCAAAGAAAAAAAAATTGTCTCGAATAAAAAAAATAAAAAATGTCTATTCTAATAACAGATTTGCGTGCATGTTTCTATTGCTTCGCAAGTTTCACGATGAAAATCAGTAAACTGACGGTATTTTAGTTTTTTTTTAAAGAGATTTTTGTTGTTGTTTTAGACTTCGGGCCTCGAGTCACTTTGATAACAAAAGTGGAACAAACTCCGACATGGTTCTTCACCTGTTAACAAAATAACATGCTAACTAACTATTACCCTTTTTTTATGTCTAATAACAAACAATCATTTTTTTAGTGTTTGCTTCTCCGAATTAGTGTGTTCTGGCTGAGAAATTCTTAAGCCTATAATTTATATCCAAATATCAGGTAAAGCTTTTATGTGTTTGTTTGTTGTTAAGCGCAACACTACATAAAGGACTATATGCACTCTGCCCACCACGGGTATCGAAACCAGAATTTTTGCGTCGTAAGCCCGCAGACTTAAGCTGAACCAGTGAGGGCTCAGTTAAATCTTCGATTTAGAAAGTTTTAGAAATTGGGTAATTGCACTTTGCCGACAGGGGGAGCTGTATATTATAACTTATACGTGTTATACTATTTTCTTGTTTTCTCCCTTACCTTCCACATACATTTTTAACTATTTATCAGTTATGTACAGAAAAAATACTCCATTACGACATAACACGAAGAGCTCACAGAAGCTTTATCCATGAAGCGTAATTAATTTGGTAACATTATAATTGTGATACAATGATATGTGGAGGATAACCCATTCCAAAGTCGTTTAAATCAATTGAATACAAAGGTAACAAAAACATTAGAAACTTTGGAAAAGAAGGGAAATCAAAAGACTTGTCTTATAAGCCTTTAGGCTTACCGCCGAGCCAATGGGAGAGAGGGCCCGTCCTTTGTAAAATTAAAACATACTGTATAACTTGGTCATAAAACTGAAGTTAAATAGCGAAATTTACAGTTATTTAATTCAGATTATCACCAGTTTTATGTTAATATATGCTGTTTGACGTTTAGTAAAGTTTTGTCTGGCATCAGGTGCAAGTTATCGTTAATAACAATCGCTAATTACAGTTGAGAGTGACCAGGACGTACACTATATGTCGCTAACGTTAGCACAAAATAGTAAACAGAAATATTACCTTAAAGAAGTTTGTAAAAATGAATAACTAATGGTTAAACTTAATGTTAGGGTTAATAACCCATACGATCACCTTAGTCTAATTATTTATTAGTGTCATTATATACAAGACTGATATTATTAATTTATTTATTTTATGAGTTAATATTTTATCATTCTTTAGTGCGTGTGTTTTTATAATAAGAAAGTTAAAAGCAGATGATTGTTGGAAGTTGTGCTAAAAATTCATTGATGTTGAGACTATCGAATGTCGCGTGCAATACACTGACGTCGAGAATATAGAGCTTTCTAGAATGCGGGCAGACGATTAAGTGATAAACATATATATATATATATTTTGAGACAGGCGGGAACAACAGACAGACAGAGCAGACGAGAAAGTAAAGTCACGGGAAGTAGAAGTTCTGCCAAGAAAAGTTAAACGTGAAGTTAACCGTAAACGTAGCTCAAACTTATAAAGTTGAAAATAATTCACG